AGTACGCAGGAAACTTTTTAATGCTCAGAATCTTTCTTTAAAAGAAAAAATTGAAACATCTTAAGGGTATGTGCACGGGAGGATAGATAGTGCTGAGGGTGTGGTTTTTAGGTATTTTGTCATTTGGAATTTTTTGGTCAGGATCCTTAATGTTTTGCATCAGCTTGGGCTTTTAAATTAGATGTGAAGTAAGACTTCTTTCTACATTTTTATAGTTAATTTAGTGAAAGATGTGAAAGTGAAAGCTTGTGAGAGATGCTGGGATTGGCAGCCCTGCAGACTGAAGTCCTCTGTTCATCCACAGAACAGGTACAGCACGGGCAAGATTTACCCACCCACCCTCAGCCCTGATCTGGAGGGACCACCAGTAGGGGTGGGAGGGTAATTCAGCTTCTGAGGCCCTTTCACTCCTTGGAGTCTTTGCTGAGGTGACTTACAAAGATGACTACTGCAGTGAAATTTTTCTTAAAAAAAAAAAAAAATGGCAACACAATTAGGAAGTAGATGGACATTTCCAGCTCATTTTTGAAAGACCAGTGAACAGCAGTCAGTAATTCGTGGACTTCTTTTCTTATTTCAGATCCAAAAAGTTAATCCAAGAATCTGATCAGCACCTGAAAGATGTAGAAAAAATTTTGCAGAACGACAAGCGGTATCTAGTACTGGACTGTGTGCCAGAGGAGAGGCGCAAACTGATTGTGGCGTATGTGGATGACCTGGATCGCCGGGGTCCACCCCCGCCTCCCACAGCATCAGAGCCCACAAGACGATCAACAAAATAATTCTAAATACTGTTCCACAGGAGTATCTATTAATTCAAAATGCTTGCATGAGCCAGTTTTCAGGTTTTTACATATATGTGCATTAGTCACCCTATTGCAGAACCACCTGACGAACAGAAGGAGAAGCAGTTTCTGAACAGAACACTTTGGAAATATTTATGCTTTTCTTTGTGTGGCATGACAGACATACATACTCAAATATAGGCTGTCTCTAGTAAATCTAAAACATTGAAGCTAAAAATCATCCTTTTACGAGGTGTGGAAATCAGTGACTTGGTGACGTTCTTTCTAGCAGTGTTACACATGCAAGACATAGAGCATTTGTGGTTTGAACTTGAAAGATGCAAATACAGACTCCAAGAAAACCTAAGCTGGGGATTGTTTTATTTTGATTTTGTTTCTTAAAGCGGGTAAAAGAGAAAACACTGAAAATTGAATTCTTCCAGGGGCTAAGATTATTATAATGGACACACTTTTACTTTTGTCTCTGGGGAGCAGTTTAGTTCTACTTTTTCACATATGTGCTTTGATTATCCCCTCTGAATGATAGGCCAAGTCTCGTCGTTAGCCTAAGAGAAGATCTATCTAGTAATTTCTTCTCAGGTATGGAACCATGTTCACAACTAACATGTTGTCCAGAATACACCTGCTGGTTAAACATTTTATTCTCAGTTAAATGGCCTTTATCAATATTCTGGATTAGACCACAAAATTCCCTCTCTGGGTGTTTTCTGTAAACTATACTCCTGTTTGAATGTTAAACTTTTGTTTCTAAAGTTTAATTTGAAGATGTTTGAATGTTCAGTTTATGTATTTGAACTACAATAAACCAACCATTTTTATATATGTGGGTTGTATATGGTTACTGTTGCATGATTTATACTTGTTTTTAAAAGCAGCAGCAAGTTGAATTTGGCAAAAAATCGGCTGTAAATCTTGAGTATTTGTTTTTAAAGGCTTGAATGCAATACAGCATTTCTAGTATCAAACAGAAGAAATTTATGGAGAACCAATTTTTTTTGATGTTCGAGTTTTGCTTGATAAGATAGCTTTTTTTCTTTTTTTTGTTTAGTGATCTTGTTTTTGTCTCTTATTAGCATATCAATAGTGAATTCCTTTTTGATATCCTTTCAGCATATCATGGGCAGCACACCAGGAAATTTACCTTTGATTCCCAATTCCATTTTGAGGGAGGGCGTATTGGGTACTGAACCGGGGGCCTTCACACTGGGGTATATCCCCAGCTCCTTTTTATTTTGAGTCCACTAACTTGCCTGGGCTGGGCTCACAATCTTCCTGTTTTATCTTTCATAGATTGCTAGCTACAGGTCCACATAAATATATAATATATACATGCTAGTAGGTTTATTTTCCATTATCTCATACCTATTATAATTGCATCAAAACCTAGGAAAGAGGAAGCACCAGCAGCTTTATTTGTGGTTTTCTTGTGTGACATTCACAGACACAAATTGATATCCATATTACTTAGTAGTTAGTTTAAATGTACGAAGTGCCATAAAAATGATATGAACTCTATATAGAGACTGACATGGACAGATCAGACTAAGTTCTTAGCCTGGGAAATTGTTAAATAGGATTTTTATGTTTTTTTCCTTTTTTTCTGTTTTTGAAATTTATTTTTGTAAAATCAGTGATTTTTAAGTTTTATAAGAAAGCAAATTGTTTTTAAAAGGAGCAGCAAGTTGAATTTGGCACAAAGTTAGGTGTAAATCTTGAGTATTAGTTTTTAAAGGCTTGAATGCAGTACAGCATCTCTAGTATCAAACAAATTTGTGGAGAACCAATTTTTTTGATGTTGAGTCTTGCTTGATAAGCAAGAAAGTAGCTTGCTTATCAGAAGGAATATAACTATTAAAGAAGTATGAGTACGCTGCGGAAGTGAAATTTCTAGAATGCTTTTTGGCAATCTGAATTTCCATGGCATTGTTTTCCCACTCACCACGTTGGTTCTTACAGCAGTGCTTGGAGGTATCAGTTCCCCCACCACTGAGCTACACCTCTTGGAGACACCCATTCGTAAGTCCTGCTTTTGTCTTGAAGTATTTTGAGTTTGATCAGCTAAGGTGCAAATTAAGTGTTCCGTGCTGAATTTTAAGGAATCAAGTCAGAACACTGTCAGGGTCTTGGTGAAAAATCTCCTAATTACTGTGTTCCACAATCTGCATCTCAAGTTGGTACTTACCTCCTAGCCTCTTGCAGCGCAGTTTCGCTTGCAATGTGTGCCTTTGTTAAGGTCCTAGCGCCCCATTAAACCTTAGTGTCCCAATAATTTTGAAACAGCAATTCAAGACACAGACTTCAAAAACTATTGGAAGTAAAGCAGTTGTTTTTATTTTTTTTTTAACAAGTTAAACTGTCAGACAGTGGAAGCTTAAATCTTATATTGTGAATATGAAAAACTTTAATTCAAATGGTTCATCACAATTGTCATCTCATGTATAACAATGGTATCACAAAACAATATTTTAGATTCTTGGGTTAAATTATACACTTTCTTTGAACACAAGTTTCAAATACGATTTGTAATGAATTGAATAAAAAAGCTACCTTCTGTATTAACTGATTTCTTGTAAGAAAACAAAATGGATAAATCCATAG